ATAATGTATTCCAGTTCTTAAGATGGATTGTTGCTGAAGTGGTGTCATGTCTGGGCTAGCTTATCTCATGATAAATACCTCCGCTGTCCACTGAAAGATTAAACGCCATGGCTACTGAGGTTGTTTTGGGGGCTTGTAAGCTGATAAGAATGTGTTACTCGTTTTTAATAAAATATATCAATCTGCATTTTCTAAAGGGCCCTTCGATAGTGCCTGCTACTGAGAAGGTGGTGCTGGCAAAGTCTAATAATGATACTTGTACATGAAACTGGCTTTACCAGTCCATGAGTATTATAATTTATTGACAGGAGTGCTTTATTGAACCCTCTTGTGTCTGGAGTGTGGGGATGAGGCGCTTGAGCTGCTGTTGTAAGACCTCATTTAGCTGTCTAGCAGAAAAGATTTCTTTCCCGGAGTCTAATCCGGCAGGAGCCATGAGAGAACGTTATCAGTTAGGTACAGAAATCTCAGACGGCTCGGGTGCGTGGGACACACGCGGATGCCATGGTCTGGAATCCATCCTGCTGTGACAGTGATGCATTCACCGTCTCCATCCAGGGGAGCACAATTCCCTTTCTGGGGGTTGGGCATGGACACGGTAGGCTTTTAGAGGTGCTCTGATTGAAGGGCTGTAAAGAGACGTGAGGCGGGAGTTGAGAGGGGTTAGCTTCTCTAGCAGAACAAACATCAGAAAATTCACCCTCTCTTCCGTGTGTGTGTGTGTGTGTGTGTGTGTGTGTGTGTGTGTGTGGAGTGAGAAGATATTCTATCGGAGCTGCTATGAACAAAATGAACTACTAGGTACAACAGGCAGGAAACTAGTATTCACAAGGGCAGACATTTGAGTGCAAACTTGGAATCCTGTTGTGCCAGTATAAAATTTGCACGTATGTAAATATGCCATGAGAATATGTCTTACAGAAGATGTCCTCCCAGTCTCCCCATCTCCAGCTCCCTCTCCCCTCCTCCTGCTTCCCCGATCATTGGGTGTGACAAAGCAGCTTCTTACAGTGTTCTTCAAACCGGCTATTACTGTGTTGCAAGGAGCGAGAAATCAATATAGACAAAGAGCAGTTTTGTGATACAATAGTTACTCCATGTCCACCTCAGAGTGTCATGAATGGGGTTGAGAGAAAGAGAAGGGGGGTGGGAATGAGGCACGACTCATCGCCCTTGCCTGAGAAATGACTGCTAGGGGGAAAAAAAAACTTTAAAATTGTTAAGCCTGTTAAGTGCAATTATACGTAGCTGGAGCCTGTCACTGTTATGCTTTTAAACAAATTATAGTGCATACCAGTTGATATTGTGTATTACAGACAGAAATTGCTGGTTGGAATCCACGTTTCCATCTTTCTGAGCAACTGCTCTGCCGCCAAAGTAAAAGAAGAGTCAAGGCAAAGGGCCACGCTGTTAAATCAATCCACAGACAGCGCACGTGGGCTGCCAGGCGTGGTGGCTTACCTTTATGCAGAATTCCTGGTGGCCTAGGCGCCTAGCCGAGCTTTGGCTACAGACACTGAAAGATCAGCGCAAAATCCCCAGTGGATATCTCTCCCTGTGTCTAAAATGGGTGGAGCCATATGTGAGATGCGCTGAGGGAAGAGAGAAAAAGGGATTTAGAAAGCAGAATCCGGAATGAGATGCAGAGCTTACTTGCTAAGCCAGTAATCGTCATGTCTCTACCTTGGTCACTAATGTTAATTCTTTACTTGCATTTCATCACCACTGAAAATCAGTTCTGGGGTGAGCTATTCATTATTTTGACCAGAGATGCTGATGGGCAGGTGCAGGATAGCATGCAGCCTGAATCTAAAAAGGGGTTTACAAACCTATTTCACTCTGCTCCTCTTGATAGCTACCTGCTGACAAATACTGCTCAGCATGCTGAGAGTTGACGGTGGGGCCAAGAGATCCCAGGTCTGCTGTTTATATTGTCATAATGCCTTGGTATCATTTCTCATGTGGTGATTTCCTAGTGCTATGCCCACATGAAGCAAAATTCTCAGCGCCTCTTTAAGATGAGAACATGCTGCTCATTTTCCAGAGGCATAAAATGAAGCTCAGAGAGTTTGTGGCTTCCCTAAGGTCACATAGCTAATTCGTAGCAAAGAAGCCAAGATTTTTCACAAGCAACTAGTAGTCTTTGCGGCTTAACGAGAAGCATCATAGAGTGGGGCTGCTGCACAGCACTTTTGAAATGCAGGGTATGTCTAGACTACAGAGCTTTTCCGGGATATAGGAGGCATCCTGGAAAAGTTCTGCCGCGTCCAAGGAATGCGTCCACTTTTCTGAAAAAAAAAATTCTGAAAAGTGGACGCGTTCTTTCACCATTCCTGTAAACCTCGTTTTACGAGGAAGAAAGGGTGGCTCGAAAGAGGAGGTTTTTCTGAAATTTGGTGCCGTGTAAACGCGCCAAATTTCAGAAAAGGCTCTTTAGAAAAAAAAGCAGAAATGGAAAAAGATACGCAATTTGTAGTTTGCAATTTGCGTATCTTTTTCCAACTTTTCTTTGTAGTGTAGACCTAGTCTCAGACCCCTGTAAGGAACATCAGGATGGGCACCTAAAACCTCTAGTCACTTTTGAAAATCTTGCCTGAATCCTGGATCCCAGTCCTACTCTTACTGCCAGCACAACTCCAGCCAGAGTCGTTTTTAAATGACCCAGTTTGATAACAAGCCATTCTTGGCATTCTAACGGAAAGTACCAAGATTCAAAGGTTTCATAACTAATACTTAGGCAAGTACATCTAGGCTCAGTTGAGTAAGCCCAGTCTTTATTTGCTGGCCCTGTAATGGTACAGTGCATCTGAGTTCCTTGTGAGAACGAGAGATATTTTTCCCATGGAAAGAGGAGGGGGAGTCCTTTGTGCCTTTGTCTTTATAAAATCCAGACGTTTTAGTTGAGAAATGTGTTAGGGGTTTCTTGGACATTGCCAGCAGCTCTGCTGTTTCATTTCAGTGGTGTGGGGTGAAGGAGTTCTATAGTTCTTTGTGTAAAAGGAACCTTTGTTGGTGGCTTCACAAAAGCTCCCATTGGAGACTGCTGTACCTGGCTAGGTGTCATCATGTGACTTTGGAATGTCATTGTTGAATTTATAACACAGAGCCACTGCCTGTGGCTACTTTGGGGGCCCCCCTCACATCCCTCTTTTCCAAACCAGAAGGGGAAAAAAAGCATCCCCAGAAAGGAAGGATAATGCTGTGATGGTCTCTCTTACTCTACGGTTGGTGAAAGTGCATGGGCGTTTTGTTGAGTGATCTTTCCTGTTCTTTTTATCTTTCAGATTGAGGGAATTTTAATGGCTTTCAGGTAGAAGCCCAGTGGAGACAATCAAAATGAATTCTATGGACAGGCACATACAGCAGACCAATGACCGGCTGCAGTGCATAAAACAGGTAAGCTGAAACTGGAGACCACGTCTACGAGTAAAGCTACAGCAGCCACTGTGTTGCGTTGCATGGCATGGCACATCGCTGCTTTCAGAGCCATTTTGTAAGGCGAGTGGGGAAAGCATTCTAATTTGCCTCCGTAGACTTACAGCTCCTGCCAGAGTCACTAAATAGTGCTTTCAAACTCCCCGTTCCACAGAGTCATGTGCCTTGTGTTAATCAGTTTGCTCCCCAGAAGAGGAGAGTGGTGAGTAAACTGAATGAACGAGTTTGTAGTTAGTAGACATTTATTCTTTAATGTGTGATTTTAAAAAAACCCCGTTTCTGGCTAAGTAACAGAAAAGCTGAGCTTTAGGGACTGGAGACTGGGGTTAAATTTTTATAAGCCTCTACGCCCTGTGCGCTAAAATGACGTAGGCACTTAGAAGCCTAAGTGTCACCGAAAGTCAGTCAGCCTTAGGCTCCCGCTCATCGATTTCAAGGGAACGAGTTGCTTGAATACCTTGGAGGGGAATCTAGGTGCCAGAATCTCTTTGGGGCTTTTGCATTATTGGGGGTAGGAAGAGGTAGTTTCCAACTGCTTGTCTAATTGATGGTAGAATAAGCTGGCACCATCTCTGCCTATTCACTCCTCCTGGCGAGCTGTGCTGCTGCCCGACCGTTAACCTCCAGCTGCATGTTTTCCCTGACAGGAATCTGTCGCTGTGGGTGGGTGATGGCGGGGGCGGGGAGGGAGAGTTTCTCAATTTGAGGTAAGGCTAAATGGTTGCTGTGTTTTATTTTCAACCAGTTCTAATAGGCACCCCACTCCTTACTCCCATGTGGCGTTTTAAAAATGTATTTGGGAGATCTCTTACCCCAAAAGAAGAAGATGAACTCTAAAATACCACTCCGGAGAGCTGAAACGAAATGTTCTGAATTTTTGTTTAAGCGACATTTCAAATTACAACCCAGAAAAAAGAACATGTTTGTGAAAACATTATTCACAAATTTTCCCTTTTATGACCAGTTCACTTCTTGCACGACTTCCTGAACAGTCTGGACTGTGATGCCCTGGAGGCCAGTATAGATGATTTGCCTCCAAATTTTTAAGCTCTGCAAGGCAGGATCAGTACACACTGCCAGCACTGTGGGGTTCTAGCCTCTAGGTACTTCTGTGACACACATAATAAATAATTATAGTAGGACCCCAGGTTAATGTGTTAGCTAACTATGCATGAAATCTTGCCCACGTAGCAAAATATCTCCCTCTCTCTGTTAAAATTATTCATCATGCTGTGGTCCCCTCTCCCCTCATAACTTTCTTTTGCACAGTGGAGTGAGAACACAGTGGATTGAGAATTTAGTACCCTAATCTAAATTGTCATTTGAAGCCCAGTTTAAAAGGAGAATAAGTGGTGATATATTTCTCCACCTAGACTTCTGAAACATCTGAAACATCGTCTTTTGTTGCTGTCATCTGCTCCCTTGCTCTTAACTTTAGAAATAGCCACCATTGTATAGCATCATACTATCTGGTGTATGGATGTTTGCTGAGGATTATGTTTTCTAAGTTAGAGGATTTTTTTTTCATGCAAATCAATTACTTTAAAGCAGCTGGGTGCTTTGGTTCTGAAAGCTTTATTTGCTAGTGTTACTGACGTATGAGCTGAAAACAGCTGCATTTGGGAAGGTTAGAAGATTGGCTTAAACAACAACATTTTGAATAATCACAGACACGGGGACAAATCAAATGGGTGTAGTTCGTGAGATTCAGTTAGTCCAAATCTAGTACAAGTCAAATAACATAAAAGTTACCATCTCATGGCTGTAAAGAGGCTGAAGAGAAATTATGTGGGTCTTGAGCCCCACTCCTGGGGGATAAGTATCTACATCCCCAAAATCAGTCTTGCTTGGTACTAATTAGCCAGCATCCTGACAGTTCCAACAGAGAGGCCAAGAGCAAGTGGATCATGGAGAGCAATCTTGCTTTCCCAACCCTACCAGCAGAACTGCAGGTCAGGCTAAGAGAGACAGATGGGGCAGGATAAAAGATGCTCTTCTCTGTGAATTCTATGGATAAATGAAGGGTCTCTTTCTCCAAAGATGCCCCCCTTTTTGTGTGGAGTTCACGTCATATTTTTTGTAATAATCCATTGCAAAACACAATGAAACTTTTTTCAAGTTTTGGCTACATAGTTGGATCCTTCGTTGGTTAAACCACTAATGCTGCACCCAAACACGGCTGCTTTGATCTAGTTACCTAATTTGTGTCTCTGGGAAACAATTTAGTGGCCAGGAAGAGGAAGGAAGGAACAAATGATGACCTCTCAAGTGTTCTAGTGTTCTATGAAAGCTAACATCCTTCCCAACCTTCTTAGGACATTCCCAGTTCTGTGTGGAATGGAAGCTGCCCGGAAGACAAATGAATGGCAGACTTCATGTTCAGTTCCTGTAGGGTAGGAAATGGTGCCACAGCCAGCAAACACAAATGATTTTGTTCTGCAAGACACAAGGAGGGCAAGTGGCAACCTTGAAAAGGAGACTCCCCCATCACCTCTTATAGAGTAGGGATAGAGGAGTATCTAAATGTGAACATGGTTGCTTATTACAACTCACTCACTACCTACTGTATAGCCTGGCAAGCCAGCAGCTGAATGCAGAGAACACACCCTGGCTGCGTCTAGACTGGCAAGTTTTTCTGCAAAAGCGACCACTTTTGCGGAAAAACTTGCCAGCTGTCTACACTGGCCGCTTTGAATTTGCGCAAGAACACTGACGATCTAATGTAAGATTGTCAGCATTCTTCCGCAAATATAATGACTTTCCCGTTTGGGAAAAAGCCTTCTTGCGCAAATGCTTTTGTGCAAGAGGGCCAGTGTAGACAACTGAAAGTCGTGTTGTGCAAAAAAGCCCCGATGGCGAAAATGGCGATCGGGACTTTCTTGCGCAAAACCACGTCTAGATTGGCACGGACACTTTTCCGCAAAAAGTGCTTTTGCGCAAAAGCATCCGTGCCAATCTAGACGCTCTTTTCTACAAATGCTTTTAACGGAAAAACTTTTCCGTTAAAAGCATTTGCGGAAAATCATGCCAGTCTCGACGCAGCCCCTGAGTTTAGTTCCTTAGCACAAGCTTCTTTGCTTTGACCTTTGTTTATATTAATAATGTAGGGGTCCCCCCTCTGAAGGTTAGCTTATAACCTTCGTTTTCCCTAGTTTTAGTAATGGCAATTTTAAAGACCTATTAGATATTTTTTATTACAGAGGACAAAGATCACATTAACTGATCCTACCCTACTAGCTCAGCGCTGGGAATCTTTGGCCCCTACATTTGCAATGCCCTCCTGTTATCAACAGAGTCCTTGCTTGGAAAGGTTAGCTGGTATGCTCATAGTTTAGCCCAGATGGTGAAAATCTGTGGGAGCATGTTGCCTTACAGCAGCTAAAGGTCAGGCCCCTTCTGTCACACACATACACATTCCTTGCTGTGGAGAGCGCAACAATACTTTGTGCTGTGTGTACTGACAGTGAAGAATCATGGCAGAGTCAGAGATCCTTCCCCACCTTAACTAACCCACATCCCCCACGTCTAGTGAACAAAATCTTTCTCCCCTAGGAAGATGAGGGTTTTGTAAAATTGTTAACACACCAGGAGCATGAAAGACGCTGCAAAGAGAGAGAAAAAAAAACCACCATCAAAAATCTTTCCTTGACATCCAGCATCTACACATTTTTTCAACCTTTCTGGCAGCTAGCGGCCCTTGCAACCAGACTGAGAACTGTCTGCTGCGCTCCCCACCCCTCACCCCAACCCTGAGAAACACTATAAATGGTAATCCCTGTGCCTCTTTAACTGGATCAGGTTACAGCACAGGGTCAGCGCAGGTTTCTTTCTTCTGAGCTCTCCCAGTCTCTGAGACTCAGACAATATCCTTTTCTGACTCCACCGACTCCTGTTTCACGCACAAAGTTGTGTGTGATTTTCTCCCTTTTGGTGCGTGTTGCATTTAAAAAGAAGGAAACAAAAACCTGCATATTGATCCACTAGCATGGAAATGAGGTGTATTAGCAACAAAAATGTTTCCAAATAGATAAAACAGGACAAACAAAATTAGGTAAAAAATTAGCTCTTGAAAAAAATTAGCAGCCTTCTGTGAATCCAACAGCTTGTGTGGTCTCTCAGAGTCAGTACTGGGAGAGTATTCTCTAAAATCAAGGGATTGCTTTTTCCAGTGTTCAGTAGAAAAACTTCAGCGATAGTCTTCCCTTGATACATGCAACTAGTTCATAATGGCACAAAGAAGAGCTGTGGGTGAACTGAGGAGGGAATAGACCTTAGTTACATTTTTCCATGATTGTTTAAGCAAAGTGCTCATCAAGGTGCAGGTCTGATAACCCCTGCAAACAAGTGCTCTGTTTATCCACAGAGCACTTACAGCACAGATCTTTCCTCCACACCATCTGGCTAACATCTAGCAGAGCTGCTATCTGACCAGCCTATGCAGGGGTGAAAGGTAGTTTAGCCTCTGTTTCCCCCTTCCCTCCTCTCCAGGGTCTGTTCAGTGCGTGATGAACCATTGTGGTGTATTTTGGGAAGCAACCAAGCAGTATAATTCTTCCTGGTAACTTCCAGTAACTACCAGACTGGGTTGGTTATGAACTAGCCACCAAGATGATGACGATAACTAATAATAGACTGACTGCATACCCCATGCCCAGTGGTCTCTCAGCGTCCCCATTGTAGTATTTGCTTTTTTACTCATTCCTCATAATACCCTTGTGGTACTTCAGCCAAATAAATAAGATCTGGAGTCATAGCATCCGTTGTTTTTCTTTGGCAGTACAAGCAAATTCCAGGCCTCCTGCAAAGTCATTGGATTGGGTGACCCCTGTGGCCTTAAGAATATCTGGATCCAAAATGTAGAGCTGCCCCAATCCTGAAACTACCTGGCTGCGCTCTATCCGCTGCTTTCTGAGCTGACTCTGGGTAGGGATGTTATAGCATAGTTGATTAACCAGTAAGCA